AATGCAAATGTGTAAATGGTAATGTGTGAGAATCCGAACGTGATCAAGCAACTCTCACAATTCTGGTTCAGGTAGTACATTGGTTGTTTTTGGTTATTGGTAGCTCTATTTGAACTTTTAACTATTTGGATATCCACTTCAATTAAATTCTTCTTCATGTGCTCATTTCTCATTGTATTACCCAATTAAATTATGCTGTTTTTATCAGTCCAGATTTAGCGTGATGAAATCATTAGTTGACATATTTTGTCATGTCTATCCCCTTTTATATCATTGACAACCATGAAAATTATTTGATATTGTTATCTTTAGTAGAAGTGTTGGAACTTTTACTTGTTACATACTAGTAGAGAAAATTCTCTTTTAAATATGCCAAGATTTTCCAAAAGTAAGCCTGATGATATCCCTGTCAATATTTTGTTAGGGCAAGGTCCATGTGAAACCAGTAAGCAGAAGGCCTCATCCAATTGAGATGCAACATGGATTCTAGATATCACGAAAGTTCGTTAAGGCAGTAAATGTTGTTGTTCTGCTTAAATTTTTACGGAAGACCATTACAGATCTATCTGTTCCATCGTGGTATGAGAAGAATTCTGTGGCTTTCAGCTGTTTGGGAGATCATTAATATTAAGATTATCGACCATGTTGGCATTCTTGCTTGCAGCAGCACTGTGGATAGATAGGTGAAATAATACAATATGTTAGCATGAAACCAGAGTTGAACAGAATCTTTGCAATGACTTTGAAGTGCTGGAATTTATTAGAGCTCCTGCTTGTTAGCACTCTTCGGTTGCCAATATGACTGCCTTGGGAAGAATAGGTTATGGCTGAGTTACCTGATGAGCAAGTCCAAGTGGCCTATTAATTGCAAAAACAATAGTGAAGTCATGATAGTTGCAAACGAGAGAGAAGCCACGATCCTATCATGGCATTAAAAAAAGACTGCTGCAACGTAACCAGAAAAAAATGAGCTTGGAGTCTGGATATTGTGCAAATATCTTTGTTTTTAGTGGAGAAATGTCTAATTTCTCTGCATTTTCAATGTGCAATAAGGCTGATTAATGAAGCAACTGTGGCATGAATGATGGCTGTATTATGCCTGGGACTTTATATAGCCACAGCACCATCACAGCCTGGTGTCTAACACACAAGTTTCAAACCTGTAAATTCCTTCTCATGGATTGCAGGCCTAAGTCTTTGCGTGTAGCACACCAAACTATAAATTTTCTACTATTTCTCGGGGCTTTGTCCCCACGAGAGCACGGAGCAAAGGTTTCTTTTTTTTTTTTTTAATCTTTTCTTTCAGGAAAGTCGAAGATACGGAAGATAGTCCCTCCCCTCTATGCCTAGTTTTTAATCAGGAAACCTCACCATCAGGCCAAAGCTTTTGGCTGTTGCTACTGGTTCTGTAAATAAATGTATAATTATTTTCTCGTTGGCAACCCTTCGGTAGAGTTTGTTTGGTAGAAAATCAATATGTATGCTTGGACGGATTCTTAACTTACAAGCTATTTCTTGTTTTGTCTATATGATATCACATTGGACCGCTTCATTCTCTATCACTTAATACTGTTCTCTCACAGTCATAATTTGGTAGGATATGATGTGTATATTATTATTTACAGACAAGCAAGATTCAATTTTGAACCCACCTCACCAAGGTAACTCTGAACTGTATTTAGAATAAAGAAATTTATTTAAAAATTTGTACTTAATTTAATTAAAAGGGGTAATATATTCTATTCAAAATAATAAATATTAAACGTTAAGAAGATTTTATAAAGTTAAAACATTAATTGATTTACAAGAAACCAAAATCTTTAAAATTAAAACACTAATTGAATTAAGTTTTTGGTTTTTGAACTTATTGCTGAGCATGATCTCCATAGATGTGTCAGGGATTACGTGGTGTCATTCGGTCAATAGAACTGGGAAGCCCTGCACCGGGTGTTGCTGATGGACACACTGCTCCAGATGGCTGCAATATCGGCCTCTAGAGATGACATCATCCCAGACTCTTGCTTTTGGGGTGGGACAAGCTCTGAATGTTTATCGATTAGCTCAGTTTACGCCCTCTTAGCGAGTAATTATTGGCACCCAGAGGATAGGAATTGAAGAGACATTTGGCGTTGGTCAGGTGCTCAACGGGTGCGTACGTTCTTTTGGCTGGCTGCTAAGGGAAAAATCTTGATGAATTGGGAGATATACCGACATCACATATCCTCTACTGCGGAGTGCAGTAGATATGGAGATCCTATTAAGGATGTGGATCATATCTTCCATAATTGCGGTGTGGCTAAATTATTGTGGTTGAAGATCATACCCATTAAAGCCCGTTCAACTTTCTTCTACAGTACTGTTGACGAGTGGTTCATGCTCAATCTCAAAAACAACTGGCTCTGATGCAAGACAATTCAGGATTATAGAGTGACATTTAACCTTACTTGCTGGAGCCTATGGAACCATATGAACAAGTTTGTTTTTCAAGAGAGTAAGAATAGTATCGATAAATTTGTTAAGAATGTGTCTCTCATGACTGATTATATTTTTATGACTAATAATATGAATTTTTATTTTTTTTCAGGTATGACGCAGAAGTCAAAAGAACTTGTAACTTGGCAGAAACCTCCCAAGAGTTGGTGAAACGTGAACACTGATGGTGCTTATCGTGCGGCTACCAACTTCGCATGCTGTGACGGACTTATTAGGGATGAGGATGGTGTCTATCTGAGAAGGTTTAGCAGGAAGATTGACAAATGTTATGTGCTTTAGGCCGAACTTTGGGATGCTCTTGATGGCCTTCAACTCGCTTGACATGCTGGATTCCGTAGCATTATCTTGAAAATAGATAGTACTTTTACAGTGTGGTTACTTACTAAGGAGGATTATGACATTAATGCGCATGCCGCCATCGTTCGTGAGATCAAACATTTACTATTGCAAAACTGGCAGATCAGAATCCAACATGTCTATCGCGAAGAAAATAGATGCGCTGATTAGTTGGCAAATGCCGGCTTTTTTCTATCGATAGATCTCTATTCTCATATTCAAGTACCAAATGATTTACAACAGTTTCTCACTAACGATATCATAAGTGTATCTTGTTTTCAGATGTGCATGATAATCTTTTAATTTCTTTAACTTCAGTCTCTCCTTATACTAAAAAATATATATATATATTAATATGATTTTTATGGTAAAACAGTTGAATTTGATTTTGTTACTCCAAATCTTTAGTGCAACAGAAATGAATTTTGTTTTTTAAATTTTATTGGCCTTAAAATGGGATTGACATCTTGGATATACTGTAGAAAAATCAATCTCTTATTGTATCTGGTTGTTATCAGAGGATATATACTGTAACAAACAATAGTATTTACAAGCCAAAGCTTATTTGATATCCAAGTGCTCAAGCCTTGGTGCATCATGTGCTCCCTTGCAGCTTTCACGGTTGTTTGTCATCAGTCCCTCCTAACCATTCCTCTAGTTTGGCTTCTTTATTTGCCTTAAAATGGTCATACTTTTCAGAGACTAACAATAGTTTATGGCTAGGCGAGTCTACATCAACTTGTGTATCTTCCTCTTCTTTTTCAGGGATTTCATCTGCGACTTCACTTGATAAGGGCAGCTCATCAGCTTCGGTATCTGGTACAGATGAAATGCTGGCAGATGCAACTGACAAAGGTGGAGATGGATTTGGCAGCAGTAGCTTCTGTTTCTGTTCTTCTTTTGGCTCTTTGGAATCAAGCTGTGGCCACTTGAAGCCGCTGGCTCTTTCTCTCGCTGACTTGAATACAGTTGAGAAATAACTGCTATTTTCACCAGCCTGGGCATAATCTGAGCTGCCACTCCAAGTGGCAGGTCCCCAGCTGCGAGTTCTTCCCATCTGAAAACTGGAGGTTGAGTTACGAATTGGCCCTCTCCTTGGTTGTTTCACTGACATCATTGCCAAGGAGTTTTTGATGTCTTGAATCATTTCTTCAGCAATAGGAGAACCGCATTCTTTCATTGACTTCACCATGGCAATAGAATCTTCTAAGTCTTCGGTGTGCAAAGTCACTTCACGAGATCTCTCCAAAACATTGTTCTTAAGAGTAACAACATTTGGCACTGCCTTTTGAGTGTGCTGCTGTATGTAGAAAAGACCCACTGAGGGCTCATTGGCGATATATTTTATCATCTCCGCCATGCATTCACTTATCTCCACAAAGCCGTCGACAGTGGAGAATTCATTCATCTTGGAAAGCCAAATGGCATGTCATCACTGCTATTATCCAGAATCAAGCAAACAAGCCATTTCAAGAGAAGGATTAAAAAGAAAACACAAGAAGACACGAGCGACATAAGAAGAAATGAATTTAAATATGCATCTTGACCAATGATGAGAGAGTCAAAATACAGTGAGCTAGTATTCAAAAGTTATATGTCATATGATCCAAGCTTGAAAATCTTAGTTTTGGAAAACTTTCTGCTTGGTAACACTCTGTAATAGTGAAGTAAGAACTGTATGTCATTTGAGTATCCATAAAAAGCCAAAAAGCTAGAAGTAGAATTAACATTATAATTGAAGTCGATGATCCAGATAACGGAGAACATGAGCTCATAATTTTTTTGCCATTGTCAATTGTAAGGCATAAGCAGAAATCATATTCTTCACCTACCCTAGGAGAATGGGGAAGAGGGGGGGAAGGGGAACGGGGAGATCAATTCATCACCATCCAGTTGGTACGGATAGTACTCCCTCACTCATAACCATGAGAGTGGATGATGCCAAACAAGAAAATATTATTTTGGAGCCAATTTTCAAACTAAGTTTTCTGTAATAATAAATTATTATTTTCTCTTGAGGAGTTATTTAGGTTATTCAAATTTATATAGGCATTATAAGGTTTAGTTTCCCATTTATGTTGATGTTAAGTATTATAGGAGTTTTTATTAGTTTTAACTAATACCTATACAATCAACCAACAAAGAAGATACTTAGGAAATGATGGATTGAGAATTTTCTTGCGAGGATTTTATTTCTCGTTATCTCTCTGTTTATTCTTCTGGTCATTATTCTGTTTAACCTATTTCATTCAATCTATTTTTTCCTATATGTCTTTACCATGATCTCTTATTTCCTTTGATCTATCTCTATGTTCCTATTTTTCACCTAAATTTCCTCTATTTCTAACTATCTGGTGGACAAGTTAATCTAATTGCTACTCACCTTGCATCAGTGGAAGTTCAAGCAGACCCCCGGTATAATGTCTATTTTCCAGGGTTATTTGGCAGCCTGAATCGGAGAAGGTTAAAATTTAGATGAGACCTACAGTATTGCAAGGTTTTAACTATTGAAGGATTTGTGGAGAATGCTGAAAAAATGACATAAATGTTTGGTTTCAAAAATAGTTCGGTTGTAGGAACACTGCTAATAGAAATTAAATCCTGAAACCTAACGTCCATTTGGTACATGAAAAAGTTTTTTCATTTTATTCTCAAATTTGCATGTATTTATTCACAAAAAACATAAAATTAAGAATAAATAAAATAATAATGTGAATGATGATCACACTTTTTATTTCAAAAAAGAATATGAATGATGATGGAATTTGAAAATTTGAAAATATTATTTTAACTTTTTTCAGGAATTATTTTCTCTGTACTTGGTTATTCTACAAAGCCACCTCTTACCAATTTTCATGGCTAAACACATGCAGAAAGTATGCGAGTGTAGAAAATAAAAGCTAGAAAAGGTGCTCATGCTACATGGTTTCCAACTTTTCCTTCAGCAAATGCCATATTATATTTGCTCAATAGTAATGAACAGTTTGGGCTATGTAACCAAAGCCAGTAAAAATCCAAAAAAAGTTAAAATCGTTGGATAAGTATAACTACTCTCTTTCTCTCAAGAATATAAACAATACAGCAGTCTATTTTCTTATAGGCTTAAGTGAAATAATTGGTCACCTGACTTGATCATTCAACAACTCTTAACCAAAATCATCTAATACTCAGCAATAATGGAATGCAACCAGTGACGCTTGTAACAAAACAATAAAGGAAGAAAGATTCAACAATTTCTTGCTACTGCAGCCTCCCTCTCCCCAAAAAAGGTTCTCACTACTGATACAAGTGCAGTCTTCATTATTCTAACTTCAAAGGTTCCGCATAATTCTTATATCTAGGATTCTAGAAGAATTTCTATCAGTATTCAGTCCGTTATTCATATCGAGATTCAACAGAAGGCATTAAAAAAGAAAACAAGAGTAATAAATAGATACTACTTCGCATATAATGAAATGTATAATCTTTGACCTCAGTCAGATATCCAGACGACATGCTTCTCACATCATAAACTTGAGTTATTTTCTCAACGTTCCGTCCCAAAAATCAAATGTCAGTTTGATGTCAAATGGTAATAATAGTTATAATATAACTGAAAACACTCATGATAAGGAGCTGAGATCATAAATTTTAGCTAATACCACTTCACATACTGAACCAACTGATTTTCTTAATGTCTACACTTCATCAAATTTTCTCACAATACATTATCGACAGATTGATTTACATGAAAAGATGAATTGCATTAGACAAAAAGCAAATAACCCCAGAGCAGGCTAGTGGCCACCAGTGGTAATCTTGCATCATTGAGACACTAGTCTATTAAAAGAAATCATAGAAAGTTTCTGCAGTTAGGACAAAAGGTTCATTTTTTACCTTTCCTTAAAAAAATTTCCGTAGAAACAAACGATACCCAGTATTCTGCCAGAAAAGGGGAACCTACAGAAACATGATCTGGAATTGAAATCAATACCCATGTGTAATTTTTTTAAAAGAAAACCTGGTTCCCATAGTTTCGCTCCCTATTGATTCGTCGCCGCAAAGAAAAGGAGAGCAAAAAAAGAAGAAGAAAAAGAAACAGATACAGAATAGAAAAACTTACATGAAACCCTAGACGACCCGATGATGATATAGGATAAAAAGAAACAAAAAGACTCAACCTTGCATATCGTTGAAGCTTCCTTGCTCACCATAAACTTATATTATCCTTTAGCCGGAACCCTTTCTCTCTCTTCTTTTGAGATAGATATAAGTGTGCAGATAAAGCAATCCAAACTCAGCTCAGAGCAAATACAGACAATATGCTGATTATTGTCTGATAAAATATATATATATATATACATTTTGGCACAAGGAAGGAGATGCCGTGATCTCACGGTTACTGCACGTGCCACCGCCGAGGACATGCTTAAGCGGGTTACATAATATATACATATTTCCTTCATTAATATTTACATTTTTTCCTTAAAAAATAAAATATTTAAATAAAAAGATAAACTTGTTCTTATAGCAAATGAAATTTTGCTCCTTTTTTAATTTGATCTCCAAGTTTTTGAATTATTTTTATAAAGTTACAAACTTTTTTGTTCTTTCTCCAAATCAATTTTGATTACATGAGTGTTAAATATACTCAATTTATTACTTAATTGAATAATTTATGAAAAAAAATAAAAAGTTCATAAATTTAATTTTTGTAATTAAAATATTATAAACTAAATTGATGGAAGAAATAAAAATATTAGGGTATGTTTATGAATTAATTTAGAAATTAAAGTATTTATCTTTATTTAAGAGATTGTTCATTAATGAATAAAAATAAAAAATAAAGTTCAATTTTTTCATCAAATTTTCTCTCAATTCCTCAAAGGGTTTTCACTTTAAGCGGAAATCTTCAGGTACTGTTGATGGTGTGAGAAGCCGGGCAGAAATGGACAGCGACGAGGACGAAACGTTCTACTACCGCTACTCCTCCGTCTCAGCTTCAGCGTCGTCAAACTCTACAGCCGCTGCCAAAGGCGGTCGTGGGATCCAATCCACTGGGTCAAACAAATCCAACGGCTCTGGTGGCCTCGCCCCCTCGAAATCAACGGTATACGTGGCGAACCTCGATTACTCCCTGACAAATTCCGACGTCCACACCCTCTTCTCCACCTTCGGGAAGGTGGCGCGTGTGACCGTCCTTAAAGACCGCGAAACCCGCCAGTCTCGCGGTGTTGCTTTTGTTCTCTTCGTTTCTCGTGACGACGCGCTCAAAGCGGCGCGTACCATGGATGGCAAGGTTCTCAATGGGCGAACACTAACGGCGTCAATCGCCGCCGACAATGGCCGGGCGGCGGAGTTTATAAAGAAGAGGGTGTATAAGGATAAGTCGAAGTGTTACGAATGTGGAGTTTCGGGACATTTGTCGTATGAGTGTCCTAGGAATCAGTTGGGGCCGAGGGAAAGACCTGTGGTCTCTAAGCGGGGGAGGAGGAGGAGGGAAGGGGAGGGAGAGGAGGAAGAGGGAGGAGAGCGGGGAAGTGAGTGTTTTGAGGAGGAGAATTGGGCGTCGGTAGTGGATGATGAAGCAGGGGAGAGGTTGAGGAGAATGGAGGAAGGAGATGGGGAGGAAAGGAAGAGGAAGGTGATGAAAAAGGCTAGTTACTTCAGTGATGAGAGTGATGAGGAAGAGTAAATTTTGGTTGGTGTTCTTGAAGAAATTCATCCCAGGTATGGCCCTTTTTTTATGCATTTTGATACTTCTCAAAGTCTGAAAATTGTTTATGTTGATTAGTTGTTTGCTGCTTTCTGCTTAGAGTGTTCATTGGCTTTGAGTATGAATTTATGGAGGATTAGTAGTTTAATCCATGAACAGTGTTACAGTTGTAAATAGGTAGATGCGTGAGATGCAGTGCATATAGGTCAGAAAAAGTATGGTTTTGCTTATGGTTGATCCACATCTAGAGTCCA